ATCCATATGTTGACCACCAATTGCCTAAAAATTAACAGTTGTAATGTATCTCATATAAAGATATAATAATGATTAAAAAAATATCTAAACTCAAATGAGAAGACAAACCTGGATCAAACTTTTCATCATTGTGTTCACATCCTTGTAATGCTAAGCTTCTTCCAAAAGGGCCATATCTGCTCCTGTAGAGATGAATCTCATCATTGACGACTTTATTTTGCTTTGCGGTGTCGCCATGATAAAAAGTTTCAACACAATTGAGAAATCCTTCTGAGATCTCCAAATCATATAGGATAGTGGAGTCTTTGTATAAGTAGAAAGGGTTTAGCAAGTAAGCAGCAAGGAGCAAAGGAGAATCGAGCCTATCTTTCATTTTCTCTTCAATAATCTGAAAGATAGGTTGGTAATTTTTTTCCAAATGATTAGAAGCTTCTTTGATAGACTTTTGAGCTTCTAATATCTCTCCATAAATAAAACCCAGAGAANGTTTTTTTTTNCCCATCCGCAAGCCTTAGGACTTTTACCAGAGGAGTAAACACTTTTAAAACCACCAAAGCATTATTCCAAAATGCATAGCTCATAACAGTATCTGAAGCAGTTTTTTCCTTCACATACTTAGAATGTTTGCATTCATGCCACTCATCACTGCCAAACATGAACTTCAGTTGTGCTTTCTTATCGTATAAACTTTGTAGTGTTAAGAAACAAGTTGCAAATCGTGTGGCTCCTGGTCTCACAATATCCTTATTATTTGTATATTTTCTCATCATGAATAGTGTTTTATGATGAGCATATATAAAGATGGTGAAAGACTTAGCTTGATTGATCACTTTAGCAAACCAATGTAACTTGGAAACTCCCTCAAGCATTAAGTCGAGGGTGTGAGCAGCACAACCTGTCCAGAAAATATTCGGTCTCTTCTTTTTAAGTAGCTTTGCAGCTGCTACGTTGTTTGTAGCATTATCAGTCACTACTTGTACAACTTTTCCAGCCCAAATAACTTCAATGCAGTTATCTATGTACTTGAAGATTATTCTCCAGTATGAGAATCTTTAGAAGCATCCTTAGAGGAAAGAAAACATGTACCTCCTCTAGAATTGACACACAGATTCATTATGCTTCTTTTTTTCATGTCAGTCCATGCATTTGTCATCACGGAGCAGCCTTGTTCTTCCCATTCTGCTTCTAGACTTTTCAACTTTTCTTTTGTCTTCTCTTTTGCTTCATTTAACAAGGGTTCTCTCAACTGATATTGACTAAGAGGAACCCAACCAGGTCCAAATTGTCCTAATGCTTCACAAAATAACCTAAAAGGTTCATTATCAATTGCATTGAAGGGAATATTTGACTGGTACATCCAGTTAGCACAATATTGATGAACAGCATGTGTCTTCTGTTTCGAAATTGCATCATGGATATTCTGTTGCCGTTTTTGTGTAGCCAAAGAAGCTTCATGTTTAATGCAGCTTGCAAACTTATCCATAGGACCTTGGAAGTGAGGAGACCTAAGAGTTTGATTCTCTCCTTGCAATTCATCATCCAGAAGCGATCTATCTATGTTAACCTCTATATTAACCTCTGGTCTAATAGCTTCCTCATGTTTTCTCTTCATCGTTTTCTTGTTCTTTGCCTCCTTAAGTGCATTCTTACACCTATCTTGATCCTGTTTTGTTGAAAATAGACAAGAAGAAACGTTCTTTTTTTGGTGAGCAATGTGTTCCTTAATTCTAAAAACCCCACCAGACATTTCTTTCCCACACAATTTGCATTTCACCTTATCTGGATTTTTTGGATCAAACAACACTCCATATTCCCATCCTACAACAGAAGAATTCCGTTTCAGATGTGTAACTATANGTGGAGGATCCATTGGAACCTGAAATTGATCAAAAGAAATTAGTGTATCATAAATATAAAACTCTAAACCTATAAACCTCTAAATAAATGAGACACATAATTAAACAAAAGCAAGCTTTAAATCGAAACACTATCCCTGGCTTTATAACGAAACATAAGCAGACAAAGTTGAATTATCTCAGAATTTTAGAGATGTAAGGTTATTACCTACAGATTTACGAACAGAGAGGTAAGAGAAGGTTGAACTGAAATCCAATTGAATTAGGGTGAACACGAATTTGTTAGAAAAACCGAGTATGCGTTCTTCTTCACTTGGCAGAGAAGAGATTACAAAATTAGGGTTTTCTTGGTTTAAAAAGAAAAGATGGTTTTGAAGATAGAAGAAGATATTTTCTTCTCATTAAAATGTTAAAAATATTATTAAACCAAGGAAATAAAATCCACGTTCAGATCTCTAAACCAACAAAATTAAACACGTTCAAATATTATTAAACCGAAAGCAAAACCAAATCTACAAAATTACAGAGTCCCACATCGAAAAGAGNAAGAGGNAACTATCAATAATACTTCTTATAAATGAACACACTTTCTCTTGTCGTATGTTTAAGTTGAATTAGGTTTATAAAACCTAGGCCCATTGCTTATACGATTTGGGCCACAATATATTATAATATATTGAAAAAATCGGTGACTGTATCTGATTTTCAATAGTATTCAAAAAATTGGTTCACCGATTAAGTGATCCGATTTGGACATAATCGCGAAGGGTAGTTGCCGATCAGCGATTATCCGGGCGCCTAGGCGGCCGATTTTTTGAACAGGGAAAAAACTACATCAACAAATTTTTTTTGAAGAAAACTAATTAAATTTTTATTTTAATTAGCCCATTATACTTTATACCTACAAAAATTAATCTCACAATTTATCAGATTTTCGTTTTCCATTCTAAAATTATATATAAATTTTTGTTTCTCATTTAAAAATAGTTTCGAAATTGATTATTGTAATAATAAAATTCTAGAAATATATATTATTTTTAAAATTAATTATAAAGACTTACCAAATTTTTAAAAGAAATTTTGATATGTTTATGAAAAAAACTTCCCAAATTTATAACAACAAATAGAATTATTGTTTTGAAATATTTTTTTTTAACACAAGATAATTTGAAAGTAACCAAAATATTATTTAATTCGAAAGTAACAAAATTTTTTTTAATCCGTGTTTTATTATACAATTTATGTTTATATATTTTAATGTTTTAAAACATTTGGTAAGTCTTTTTGTATTCTAAATTCTACTTAAGATATTAGTACAAGCCAAATTTAACATATTTTATACTAATGATACAATTTAAATAAATCCCAAGTTTATAACAAAAATATTTTCCAAATTTCCCTATTTTTAAAAGAAACTTTGAATTTTTTTTACGCAAGACAATTTGAAGTAATAAAAACATGATTTATTCATAAGCAATAATTTTTTTAATCCGTGTTTTATTTATAAAATTTATGATTATATATTTTAATGTTTTAAAATATTAAATAATTTATTTGTATTCTAAATTCTACTTAAGGTATTTGGACAACGCAAAGTTAATATGTTTTTTTTAAATCTAATATATTAAATTATTATAGTTTTTGATTTGATACGTGTACATATATAAATGAATTTCTCAAGTTTATAACAACAAATATAATTATTCTTTTGAAATATTTTTTTTTTAACGTAAGACAATTTGAAAGTAATAAAAACTATTTTTAATTTGAAAGCAGCAATTTGTTTTTAATGTGTGTTTCTTTATAAAATTTATGATTATATATTTTAATGTTTTAAAATATTAAATAATTTATTTGTATTCTAAATACTACTTAAGATATTCTGATAAGCCAAATTTAACACTTTTTAACTCTAATGTATTAAATTATTATACATTTTGACTTGACACATTTACATATATAAAATAATTAAATGGTAAAATTAAATTTCTAAAATTCATATTATTAATAAAAATGATATTATTGACTAATAAAAATTAAGAATAAAAAAATCAACAATAATGTTTATAATAAAAATCAAACAACTACATAATTTACATTTTTAAATACTTAAATTAAAAACAAAACTATATAAATAATTTATCCCCGTGTACGCGGAAGAATCACATAGTATCTAATATATAATAAAAGGCCAACACTCTCCCTTGACTGCCATGTGGCACCCTCTATGCTCAACACTTGTCCTCTACAATTTTTTTTTGTGAAAAAAAATATTTCTCGATTTCATCACTTAATTAATGCAAAACATTTCACTTTTCTCTTGGGTTATGTATGCGAACAGCTGTGTCTCAACTCCTATCTCACACCCAAGGAAAGGGCAGCGAAGTGTTCACTTGGACCGATGGAAGCTTCTGAAGGAAACAAATATTCTCGAGAACTTTAACATAAAAATGGTGATATCATTTGCGACACCATCGATGATTTACAGTTTGCGAATGGTTTTGTCAGTTTGCGAATAACCATTTCGAGTTGGAAATCAGAAGGAGCAAAGCGTAGAGTCAGAGAAATATCGAAAGGACATGAAAAAAAAAAGATTTCATGCTAATCTTCGATTTCAAAATCATGTAAATTTCTTAACATTGTTAATAAATCAACGAATTATTTATAGCTTCTATGTGTTCTAATGTCACGATAGAGAAATTCTTGATCAGGTACTGAGACCACAACATCGCATCCCTTTGAGTTTCATGTATCTTTATTTTTCCATAATGTGTTTATATTTTGCGAATTGTTGAATGCGTTTAGGTTTGGTGTTGTGAGATTCAACAATGTTTTTCCCTTGCTTTGCTCCTGTTCTGTTTCTAGAATCATTTGATTTAGTTTCATGGCAGAATTGGATGAATGTGCATACTGTATATTAAGTTAAATTTTGATGTTTTGCTTTCTCCATGTCATTGTTTATTTCTTATACCCAAAGCGTAACAAAGGAAAGGAGACGGCAATCTCATGTAGCAGTTGGGTTTTCGGTTTGGTTGGAAGAACTCTTTGTCATCGAGAGTTTGTGATCTTCTGTTTTTGGCTTCTGATGGATTTTTTTGGAGTTAGAGGAGGCTTGAGATGGTCGTAAGGATCTCCTTGGTTAAAGATATGATGATATCCTCCTTTTTTGGTATAGGAGTGGAATTTTCTTGGTTGTAATGACTGGTTGATCTCTTGTAATTAAACCGCTTGGCTTAAAGCTCTCAATATATAGGTTACTAGATGAAAATAAATAAATAAACTTGATGTTGAAGTATTGTCAAAAGCAATATGGTACAGTACTTATTTAACCGTTTTGGAGCAGACCAATTTCATGATTTCCTTATTTTATACGAAACAATAATTATAAGATGTCTAATGGCCATTGTACTCTCTCAATATTCTAGATTATAAATTCTTCCATTTTCATCGATTAAGTAAGAGTCGGTTACTTGAAAAATATATTTTACATTATCAAATTGCAAATATTTGATTACATAGATATATGTTCGCAATCTACTAATCTAATTAAGTTCATTATTTAAAAACACGATAAAAAATTGTTCGATTATTAGTAATTCAACAGGACTCTCTCAAACCGAGGGCTTAGTAATTTGAGTTATTCACATCAAGATTGTGAATATACATTGCTTTTGCTAATTAGACACAAAAACACAATATTTCCAAATACTATGCTTGATTTATCAATTTGCATCAAATAATAATAATAAAATATTATCTGATGAAGAGACATGGAGAAAGGCTCAATTGCCATGATTTTAAGACTGATTGCGCAGAGTCTGTTGACATCGTCCGGTATCCCGGAAAATGGCCTGCTTTTTACATCATATCAGATAAGTTTAAGGAGGTGCACAACCGGTTCTCCCAGGTTTCTTTATCTTTAATTTCTCACTTCTTATAATTTAAAAACGGGCTTTTTAACCCGTTCATCATATACTAGAGATAATGATTTCATTTTTGTAAACAACTCTCCATCTAATTGAACTACTAATTACGATGGTATCTTGTAATTTATATTTTGGTTAAAAAAAAAATTAAGAGACATGAAGTTAAGTTATTGTAACATGTTTCACTCATGAATTATGTAGAATTCCACAGTCAAACATATGTTATGTATGTTGGACATATGTAATGTATGTTTCACATAATAGACGAACAATTATCCAAATGAATTTTAAAATTAAAATGGAGTTTAAATATAATTTAGTGATATTGCGTAAAATATAATTACGGTAGAAAGTTACATTGAAAGTGATACATAAATAAAAATGCTAATAATAATTTATATATAAGAAGAAAACTAAACAAGATATACACCATTATTTTAAAAGAACAAAATCTACAAAAATAACAATAAATAGAATGTTAATTCTTTGAACAAAATATATAAAATTATAGTTATGAAAATAACCCGCGCGTATGCGCGGGTATTCACCTAATTTATTTAACAAATAAACACTTTTTTTTTGGAAATATGTTTCATTGAACTTGAAAATATTTTTACAATCTCAAATAAGTAAATGTCGAATACATAAAGGAGGTGAATTATGAATACAACAAGATGAGAATTGAGATTTCTCTATATGCGTATTTATATCCGCTATGTCGTTTGCTTTTCTCTCGATGTATGTAGGGGTCGGATTTCCCCCCTATGAGATCGATATAACGACGAGATCAACTCTGCGGTGTCCTAACAAAAACAGATCGAATCTACAAGGGCACAGTCTGAATCTAGGCCCAAAATGACATTAAACCGATTAACAAAATGGGCTTAATAGATTAATGGGCCTAAATATTATATATTGCTTAATGGGTCATGCCCATTTATTAGCCGGCCCATTTTACTTAGAAGTATTATATATAGTTCATTATCATCTCCCAAAAAGGGGATCGATTCATTTGTAACCAGAGCTTAACATAAACAGCAATAAAACATATCTTCAACTTTTGTTTTGTGATTCATACTCAGAAGACT